GCACTCTACTTTACGAGAGAAACTCCACAACTGAAGGGTGATATTTATATGGATTAATTACTAGAATAGACTTGACAAATGGAGTAATTATTAGAATAGTCTTGACAAAATATCAAAATACTAAGAAAGGGTTTAAAAGACATATAAACCAAGGCTGAGGAAGCATCGGAATTGAGATAAAATCGGATTAAAAATCATAAGGTGAAAAAAAAACTCAAAATCTTTTGATTTTTTATTAGAAAAATAATATATGATGTTAGATCTACTAGTTTTAGGCTAAACCCAGTTGAAAACAAGTTAAAATACAGTAAAAACGAGCTAAAAAGTTGTTGGCCGCCATTGTTGTCGTTTGACAGCTTTTGGGTTGGTGGAGAAGATGAACGGTAAATTACGATTTTACCCTTTTTGAATAAGTCTACCACTACTATAAAATAAGTCTACCACATATTATAAATCTACCACTACTACAAGTAAGTCTACCACCTACCACAACAAGTCTACCATGCCGCTTATTTTTTAAATCTACCAGTACGCTTATCCGAATCTAAACAAGTCTATCGTCATTCAATATTAAGAAACAAGTCTATCGTAACTCAATATAGCCAAACAAGTCTAACTTCATTATGGTGATTTACCAAAGATTGGTAGATTTGTTGTAGTAAAGACCTGCAAATATTGAATAAATCTACCAAGGAAAGTAACAAGTCTACCACATAATATTAATCTACCGCCACTATAAATAAGTCTACCATCGCTAACAATCAATAAGTCTACCGATCAACAAATATAAATCTACCAAAGAGAGTAATAAGTCTACCACATCATATAAATATACTGCCACTATAAATAAGTCTACCATCACGATGATCATAGACTTATTGATCATCGTGATGGTAGACTTATTTATATCCGAATTAAATCTACCATGAAGGGAATTAAATTTACCACGAGTAATTAATCTACCATCACATAGAAATAAATCTACAACTCAACAATAAGTCTACCGAGATAAATCTACCATTCGACTAATAAGTCTACCACATCATATAAATCTACCGCCACTATAAATAAGTCTACCATCACGACGCGCATAGACTTATTGATCGTCGTGATGGTAGACTTATTTATATCTGAATTAAATCTACCATGAAGGCAATTAAATCTACCACGAGTAATTAATCTACAATCACATAAAAATAAGTCTACCGAAATAAATCTACTACTCAACAATAAGTCTACCATTCAAAAACAAATCTACCAACCACTAAATAAATCTACCATCACGTAAGCGGTACACTTATTTGCTTTTGGCGGAAAACTCATTAATGACAGTTTCGTAAATACGTTTTTGTTATCAAAGGAAATAAGGGCAAAACCGGATTTAAAATTTTGAAGAGTATTTGAGTATTATGAAACAAAAACACCAAAATCATCAAAAAAAACCATTTATCAAGACAATTTTAGTAATTGGTGGTTTAATGACGTTAGCTACCCAAGATTTTTTTAAAAACAAAAATAACTTTTTACGCTTTTTATCACCACTGAAAGATTCATAGTTCACTTTTTCTCTTAAATATTGCTCTTTTTTAGTAAATTACTACATCCCAATTTCGTGTATCTTACTACTTTTGCATAATTGTGCATATCTAATTGTATTTAACAAAAAAAGGACAAATACCAATAAATAACGAATTTTTAAATATTGCGCGCCAATTATAGCTAACAACTATTACGCACCAAATATAGATAACGATTATTACGTGCCAATTATATCTAGAAATTATATAACATATATCAAAAATAACAAATATTTAAAATTAAATATTTTGAACCGGTTATATTTAGAAAATATGATGTTGTTATTACATTTAATAAATGTTGACAAATAAGAAACTGATATAGTTAATGTATTTTGTAAATATTATATCTAAAAGACAATTGAGCGCCAATTATATCACGCCAAATTGTATATGTATGAGATATGTAATAAATATTAATAAACATCATATGGTTATTTATTTTTGTTTTGTGTTATGTTCTAAGATTTGTGCGTTCTTTTTTATTAAGATCTAATTATTATGTTTGGAAAAGATACATCAAATATCATATTACATTTGGCACTAACAAGTCCATTAAATTTTCATAACTATATTAGATATTATTTTAGTTTCTTAATTAATCATATTAAAATTATTTAAGATGTGAAATTAAATTTACATATAAAGAAAAAGTCATGAGGTTATTTTAAGTGGGTAAAAAATGTACTTTATTT